ATAAGTATGTCAAAACGACATTGACATTTCAAACCGGAAGTTGCTTATATCTCGAGTAACATTGGAATTAAACGTATCATGTTAACCCTCATTTTAAAGGATTTTTCACGACGATTACAAATATGTCAAAATTGACGTTGACATTCTTAACCGGAAGTTGACCATAACTTCATTAATATTGAAGATAAATATATCGTGTTTGTACTTATTTTAAAGGATTTTTAATGAAGATTACAAATATGCCAAAATTGAGGTTGACTTTTTAAATCTGAAGTTAGTTATCATATAATAGACAAATGGACAACTTCATGGTGTTCTTTTATGATGTATCTTGAATACTCTTTTACGTCACGACCAATAGCAGCGTTTACTGATTAATTCCACAATTTAAAATTATACCCTGTTATTAAACAAACCATACGTGAAGATTTATAATATGATACGATTTCTTATTTAATAAAATTAGATTTAAATTTAAACTTGTTTACATCAATTATGTCAAAAGTGTTAAATTGGGTTGCCACACAAATAAATCAAAAATATCCACGTAATCTTTATTATTTATTTCTTAAGTAATTCGAAATTAAACAAAATAAATGATAGTGATAAAATAATTATCACATAATTTAGTTTTTGAAATAATTAATGTTAAAAAAAAAATTAACCTAAAGAAATTAATAAATCAAAATTTTAGTGCTTTTCAATATTTAACGTTGGTGCTTCGATAATGCACTTTTTTAGTTCTTAAAACCGTCGTATGTCATACTTTTTACAAGTAAACGTACAAATATCTCAAAAAGCTTGTTATTTATTTTTTAGCATCAAAAATGAGCACTTCCAACGATAAATACATGTTAAACTGGGATAACCATCTAAATCATATGAGACTGTCATTTGATGTTGTAAGAAAAAGCGGCGACTTTGTTGATGTAACGATATGTTGCGATGGGAAGAAGTTAAAAGCCCATAAGATTGTTTTATCGGCATTCAGCTCGTATTTTCACGATATTTTGATTGATAATCCATGTCCTCATCCGGTTATAATCCTCCGAGATGTTGGTTATGAGGAGATGGTGGGAATTTTGGAGTTTATGTATCTTGGAGAGGTTAGAGTTGCAACAGAAAACTTTAGTTCGTTTTTGCGAGTTGCCGAACTTTTAAAAGTAAGTGGATTAGCTGATGATGTTCCCGAAGAGAAGAAAGATAGTTTAAATGAACCTGTATTAACCGAGGAAAAGGTGGAAACACCCAAGCCGGGAATGAAAAGGAATCGTGGATCTATCGAGAAAGAAAAGAAACAAGGAGTGGATGTTGATAAAGAAGATAAAGGACCGAATAAGAAGAGAAGAGATACTTCTAGCCCATTTCCATCAGGTCAAGGCGATTATGGTAACGAGAATGTTGCAGAAAATATAAAAGAGACTGAGACTACCAAAGGAGAAATACCTCATAATAACTCGAATGTACAGAAATTATTAAGCAGTGAAAATTATTTAATAAAGGAATTAAATCCTGAAAACGAATGTCCTATATGCGCCCAAAAGTTTCCCACTATGTATTTATTGAAACAACACATACCTTTTCATTTGGGAGAGACAAAATGTCAATATTGCAATACCGTAGTGAGTAGAAAAGATCTTTTGAGGAAACACTTGTTGGCTGTACACAAAATACACACTCCAAGGAAGGATTAGAATTAAATTTTAATATTTCGACACCACATATTTGTGTATTTTTTATGTTGATTATACATTTCTGTAATGATAAATTTGAAATAAATCTATAAGATTAAAAATTAATTAAGGGTATTACTTTTAACCCATTTAGTTCCACTGATGTGAAAATGCACCAGCTTTTTTAAAGTTATTTTACAGCCATATATTACCAGATTTCAAGGTACTAGCTGTTTGTATGATAACACTATAAGGTTGTTAGGCTATACATATCAAAATATTTCATAATTCTTGCTATATAAACCATATTTACATCAATTCTTTTCTATTGAACATTTCTGTTCAAAATATACAATAGAAATAAAACTATTTTTAGTGCATAAAATTCTTTAAAATTTTGACATTTGCAAGTTTTTAGTGCATATTTTCCTCATATATATCTTGAAATGCAAAATGAATTCTGAAAATACGTTTTGAAACATTAATGGTGCAAAAATATTGATTGACGAGATATAAGGATTTGTTAGTATAATGTTGTATTAGTATTATTATTTATTTACGACTAATTTATTACTTAGTTAATAAATGATAATCAAAATTTTTGGTGACTTGTTCATTTATCTTACCAGTGGTGCATTTTACACCATCTCATATCTCAAAAACAATTTTTTTTTCAAACAACTGTGTACATTTTTATATTTTTCATTCCATCTTATCTTAAGGAAAATTATAAAGAATCGATTTTTTTTTAATATAAAGCATCGTTGGACTAAATGGGTTAATTCAAATAAGAAATCAAACAAAAATCGATTATTTTTATTACCATTCATCAATAACAACTTTATACAAACCTTGGGGACAAAAAAAAACTATTTAAACATATAACAATTAATATTCACATCGTTTTAAGTAATTTTTGGCTTAAATAACAAAGACTAGAATTAAAAAAAAAACAATATCTGTTTCAAAAAAAAAAGATTAAATATCTCTAGGTGGATTAAAATACTCCCAATGATGCATATGGACGGTTGTTCCTCCACCACCAGAACCCAAAAGAATCAATCCAGCGATCAAAACTAATAATATAACGACCGTTACATGTAAATCTTGTCTACCATCGCTATTTCTAAGCACATTCGCTGTAATGTGCTTTATAAGTCTCTTAAATGCTTTGTCGCCAGCCACCAAACATGCCCCTGTTAATTGAGCAGCCAATTGAGGTATCGAAGGTTCCGATGGAGTTCGATGTCTCCGACCTCTCGCAGGTGGAGCTACATCTTCAGAACTCGATTCAGAATGTTGTTGTTGATGTCTCGATTGTTGTTTCGGTGGTCGTTTTCTTCTAGGTGGCGAAGGAATGTCTTCATCGTCCATAAACGGTGATAAAATTGGAGATCTTAACATATAAAAGGAAGGAGGAGGTTGAGACCAAATCGTCTCTTGAAATTCACTTGGAAACCTAGGTTGAGGAGGTCTTGGAGGAGGTGGGGTTGATTCGGGTGTTAACTCAGGAAGGTCGTCTTGGAGAATTCTTTCTTCTAATTCTTTCATTTCTTCGCGAATTTTTTGGGTTTGTCTCGGGGGGCGCATTGGTGGTTCAATCGGAGTTTTTTTTTGTTCACTCAGCGAGAAATGATGCAATAAATGTTGATTTTCAGTTGTGTTTAATTCTTGTACGAGATCTGATAAAATATCGTTAGCAATTTCTTCAGCTTCATCTCTACTTAAATCTTGGACGTTATCTTCAATAATATTTTGTTGTGATTGTTTTGATTCGTCCTTTTTAATTTCTTGGTGTACTTTAAATTTTTCTGGAGGCGTCTCATGATGTATTGAAGTAGTTTCATCTTTTTGTTTTTCTAACTGGCCGATTAATCCTTTTAAAAAACTTCCTGAAAACTCAACACCTCCAACAATAATATTTCCACCTTCGGGGTTTATTTCGGAAATTTTCATTGAATCTCCCTCGATTTCAGACACTTTTATTTTACTCGCTAATAACTCATTAACTGTTAATCGATTTACATCTAAATCCTCAATTTGAAGTTTTTGAGCTTTTAAAACTTGAACTTGGTCTAATTGGACTGGTTTTTCGATGATTCGTTCGATTATTTTTGTTTCGGGTTCTTTCTTTTCTGTTTTATCATCAGTTTCTCTCCGAATTGTAATAATTTTTTCTGTCGATCTTGAAAATTGCGTAATCGGTCCTTCCTCGTATTTTTCTGGAACGGGGGCTACAACTAAAGCACCATGCGTTATGGTTTCTTGGTGCTCGAATTCTTTGAAAGCTCTTTGTCTCGGGGTTAAAACTTTATCACCTTTTTCTTCGACTAATTCTTCGCATACGAACCCTTCCGGTAGAGGTTCAGTTTGAACGGAAACTTCGCTTTCTTGAAACTGTTTGATCGAACCCTTTTCATCATCAACGTTATTTAAATTGGTTATATCGCTCAAAGGAGATTTACTATGTTCCTTTCCTTTCGACCTTGGCGGTCTTGGAGGTGCTGGTAACGGTCGATCTTTCATTTTTTTCACAACATCACCCGATTGTAACCTCGAATGTCCCTCTTCGTCTTCAATTTCGATGTATTGGCCAATATCAACATTTTCTTTTTCAGCACTTCTCCCATTAATCGACGATTTAGAACTTTTTGGGACTAAGGTGCTATAATTTCTTGTTGGTCTAATCGGTGCATCATCTTTTAACGGACGTGGGCAAGTAAAAAATTTTGCATCCGTCGGGGACCCGGCAGAACGTTTCTTTCTTGGAGGTGGCGGAAGTGGAGGATCTTTTTGTTTTGATTTATCGATGATCGCATAACCCATATAATCACAAATCGTTTGGACACAGGGTTCTTCAACGCATGGTTCTTCATTATTTTGTGGCAAATGTTGTTCTTGTAGTTGTTCTTCGAATTTTAATTGTTCTTCTATTTCTTGCAGGTCGCGCTCAGATTGATTAGTTCTCGATTGAGATCTCGTCCTACTTCTGGTTCGAGACGGTCTTTGAGGGGGTTCTTCTGGTGTTGGGATGATGTATTCGTGTTCAACACGATAAGCTTCAATCTAGAATTACAAAAAAAATAATTTTTTACATTTTTTAGCTCTATCAGAAAATCTTATACTATAAAATATCCTATTTTAACTAACCTCTTTGTTTTGATTGACGTAGGTAATTTCGTCGATAATAGAATCATGTTCAGATACAAGACTTTTCAAGCTCTTCTGTTTCCTTGGAGGCGCTTCGGGAAACCCATTTTGCGGCTTCGAACTTAAAATAACATTCTCTTTTTCGTAAGGATCGCTTAAAAGTATATTGGGTTGATCGATTCCCTCCATTTGTTCGTTTTCGTACATTTGGGGAAAATCTTTCCTAAAATCGCCGTCGTAAAAGTGATGATCGTCTTCTTTCCCTAAAACGTTATCAGAAACGGCTCTTCTTAAATCGTTATCACCGACGTAGGGTCGATGATAATCCAAAAATTCATTTTCATCCTTTTTCTTTTTAGGTTTTCTTTTAGGTCTAATTGGTTCAACTTGAACTTTTTCCTCTTCAGGTTCGGATTCGTGTTCGTAACTAATTTGTTCGCGTGACACGTTAGGTGTTTTCTTTCTTTTCGGTTTCTTGATTGGTCTTCTTTTAGGCACTTCTTGTACGCTTTGGTCGGTTTCGAAACTATCATCAGCGGGGATTTTATTGGTCGGTTTGAACGTTTCTTTAATTTGTGATGATATTTGAATATTATCTTGGGAAATTCCTTTTTCCCTTAAGAAAAATTCATCTGAATCGATTTCTTCTAACACACCACGTCTGTGAATATCTCCCGAACTGCTTATCGATCTATAATCAGGTCTGAAATCTTGGGGAATATCAAGATCTTTAGAAATTTCTTGATTTTGATTATTAAAATCTTGTTGGATGTTATAATCTTGTTGGTGAGTATCTTGTGGGATATTTTGGGACACATCTAAATCGTTGTCTAAATCGGTTATTGCAACATCTTCGTTTTGATCGATTTCATTCAAATTTTCCCCGTAAAATTTGCCATGTTTCCAACGATTTCTTGTTAAATCGTTATTAAATTCGATGTTGTATTTGTTAAAATCTTGATTAAACTTTTGTGTTTCTGCGTTAGCTTTGTTAATTTCGTGCATTTCTTGGCTTTCCCTTAAATAATCATTCTCAATGTCGATGTCTTCATCATATCGATGGGTTAAATCGAGATCTTCGCGATCCATCGATTCCTCTGAATGTAAAGGTATTCTAATAATTTTCGGGGAATCTTTCGATTTTTTCGGAGAATCCTTTTTCTTTTCTTTGTCTTTGTTCTTCCGTGGTAAAGTAACATCGAGATCGTCAAATTCATTTTTATTTTTTCGTTTAAATATTCTCGGGTACGTACTAAAGTCGAAAAATTTCTTTTTTGTACCTCCAACATTCGATTCGGTTGAGTATTGTCGCGTTTTTACCACCGTTGTTTTCTTGGGGAGCGTAAAAGATGGTAAATTTAGTTTGACGGTATCCGGAATTTTCGGAACGTTAATGTTAATGTGGGGTTTCTTTATTTTAAGCTTATCCAAATTTTGAGGTCTTTTAATATTTTTAAACTTTGTCCGTATTTTCCCCGCTTGAGCCTTAAACGCTTCTTGAAACTTATTTTTTTGGCTCTCCTCTGGCGTTTTTGATGATGATGGTGTTGAAAGTGTTGATAATTCAATTGGTGGTTCCTCATCGATGTCTTCAGTTTCTATTGGTTCATCTTGCACGATTACATCATCATGTAAAGGTATTCTAATTGAGGTGGGTTTCTTTAACGATGATTTAATTTGTTGTGGTTTAATTTCTTGTTGTGGTTGAGGAGTTGGAGATGGTGCTGGGGGATTAATCGGTTCGTATTCATGATCACTGCAAGAAAAAAGAAAAGCATTAAAATTTAAAATAAGCATTGTTCCTTTTTTGAAAAAGTTCCAACAATAAAAATACTTCACCTACCGGACTACAACAACGGGATTAAAACCAACAACATTAGAATTTTTGACCGCTTGTAACTTTTTATCAGGTAACAAAGAATCACCCTGAAAATACTGGCAAGCACAGCGTACGTCTAAAGAATGTATTGAGGATTCTTTTGAGGATTGTCTCGTGACGTTTCGGCGTTTTTGGAGTCTTTTTGTGCCCTCGGAAGCCGTTCGTAGATTGTCGTCGAAAGAGGCCCGCCTTTCCCTCAAACCTGAGGGCCTTTGAAGGCTCATGCTACCACGTCATCGCGGTGAAAATATGAAAACACCTCACTTGATGCGCTTAACGATCGACTAACGTACGGGTTGCTACTGAATATATTTAGATGGAGCGATATTGTGTGGATATTTTTGAAACGATTTCGTAGCGACATCTCGTACGAAAATGTTTTTCACCGTTGGAAGTTGGGAGTGTCTTTTTGGATCTCGTCCAAACGGGTTTGCGTAAATACATGTTATAAAATTTTGTTTGGATTATTGAAATTGTGAAAATCAAAAAAAAAATCAAACTGAAACTAAAAAGTTATATATAAGACAGTAAATTCTTGTGTTGGTTATAAAGGTAAATGATTTTCATAATAATAATAAGGGGATTAGATAACAAATGATACAACGATTGATAACTATCTCCTAAAGATATAAGAACCAAGATACTTGCAACATTTCGGACGATATCATAGTGAACACTAAAAACACCTTAATAGACACAACGACCTTTTCAACTGAAGAGAATAATAGCCAGGAAGAAAGGTTCCAACTTGCGCAGATATGCAAAAAGAAGATGAAACAGAAGAGACGCTCAAGGAGTGCGGAAATAGAAATATAGCCACGTGCTATCTACCGCACTTAAAAGAGACATCCTTAAAAGTTAACACGGCAACAAAAGAAACCTACGATTGTGTGGTAAATTTTGAATCATGGAATGACACAAAGAGAAATGTCACATTTAGTGCACATAGTTTTGTTTCTTTGTGAATCTTTTTATCGTTTTTATTCTTCTTATTTGAGAAGAAGAAATTGAGATGATTTTCTTTCTTTGTTGGTAATGGTACAAATGAAGGAAAATGTTTCGCTTGAAAATCTCAGTGGTGTTTGATGGCTGCTCACTTTTTGACATGCTGGAATTTATATATTTTTTCAATGGAAAGTTCAATTGCATTTAGACGAAAATCAAATGAATACATTTCACCCCCTGATTTTTTGTAAGGCGTTCCATATGGCCAGATCTAAGAGATGTAAGAACCCCTTTTTATATTTTTTGCTTCCGTTTCTAGTTGCTTCATAGAAAGGTTCATAGTATGGTTATAATCCAACACAATTTCTCTACATCCACCATTGATGGGCTATAAATGATAGAGATAAGAGAAGAATCTAACTTATGTTGTCTATCTTATGCCCCAACCATAAATTAATCAATAGCGGTCTCATCAGTCATCACCACTTGGGAAAACATTGGAGGATCTTCAAATTCTCCTTCCAGAAAGATATTTTTACAATTATAAATTTATGTCTATAATTTACCTGCTATTTCTACTGACTTTTGGGTGAAATGTATTGCACTCATCCAAGACGACCTTTATAAACTAAGAAACTTTTTCCAATAGTAACAAATTTTCATAAATTGGTGAAATTTTGCAAAAGTACAATTTTAAAAGGTTAACAATTTTCTTTTCTTCGTAAAATCCACTTTAGACTATTTGTCCATAGATATCGAGACAAACTCTTGCTCGACATAGCCATGAATTGGCGTAATTTACTACGCCTTCGTTTTCCCATCAAATTATAGCCACAGCTACCTCAACGTGGCTACGAAGATCATCTAAATCAATTATTTAATAAATTCTTAAATCAATTAAATAGCAATCATGGGGTTAAAGTCGTATGACTGACGAAACCATGGGACCGGACCTCGACCTATCCACTTATTTTCAAACCCATAATGAACTGAATATGCAAAGAAAGAGATAATCATTTCCAGTTAGTCGATTTGGCAATACAAAGGGGTCAATAAGTTGGTCGTTAACTACTTCCGCCCAAACGTTTGTCGTAAATCTGAACTGGAAATGATTTCGACAAACAGTATGTTGATTTTCAATTGCTGTTGCATGAAACGAAATACGAGAAATGCGTGTTTTGTAGCAGTCATCGTCTTGAAATTGTAAAGCTTGTGTTTTTTGTACATGGACATTGTGCTTGCCAGACAATTCGATTTGACAGATTTTTGTCGAGCACTACTAGAAGGATCTTTTTTGATAAGATTTACAGTTATAGTTCGTTGGTGTCGGCCAAGTCCACCTTTGACGTATTTCCACAATACCAGTTTCTCATGTACGGATTACTAGAACGGTGAAATTTTGTGGAAATTTACTTGCAACAGCAGATATCTGGAGTACTTCTTCATAAATTAACAACATGTCATTGGTGCACTGTATCTCTTTGACTCTACAATGACTTTACAGACCGTTATCGGCCCACGACCTCCTTCAATTTCTGTCTTTACGCCTCTATGTATGGCCTCCTTCTTCCAATCTCTGTATCTAACATAGGTCTCGCTCCTTGCATTCTTTTCTTGCATTACTTTGGTGTCCTTTCCTACTTCATGTTGATCATATGCCCTACCCATTGCAATCTCTGAATCCTAATGTACTTTGAATATTATTTTCATATTAATTTTCTTTGCATTTACATATAAAACATTTGTTAACATGATTATTTCGAATATTACGTTACATTTCTTAAAGTTGATAGAGTTTTAATGACCCTTATAGCTTATAATATAGGAGGCCTTTCTAGGATCTGTTTGGTCTTGACTTGTTAATCTCTCTACGTCTCCACGTCCAACATGATATCTCCATCTCTTCATTTGCAGGCCCATCACAAAAGTGATATTCTCAGTTCGTTTACGGTCCTACAAGCTATATTCTGTTAATAATCTTAGCATCTTGATTTTTGACGTTCTGAGGATTCTTATTGTGATAGCATTTTTTGCTTTTGTCTCTATCGCATATGTCATAATCTTGCTTTTTAGGGACATATACTTGTTTTGCCATATTTTGTCTTTCAGGTAATCTGATATCAAAGCTCCTTTTGTTGTTTGAGCTATAATTTTTTCTTGAAGGTTCCCGCTGCTCGGAATATTGACGCCAAGATTTGCAACGGCGTGATTCACTTGATATTGTTAGATATTTTGTTTTTTGAAACCGAGATGTTCACGTTAAATTTTGTTGCTGTTTTGAATTGGTACATGATTCATCTCAGTTTTACGCAATACAAAATCGATAACGCATAGTAAAGGGCAGCTCAAAATTCATATGCTCAAGCGTCACTTTCTTATTTTTAATGTTCTTGAAATTAGTTCTTTGTGTCTCTTTCTATTTTTACTCAGTATTTTCATGTGATTTAATTGGAATAGTTAAAAGCCACAACTTAAAGACTTTCACTGGATTTGAAATAGAATTCTAAAATCGAGGATCATCTCAGAACGCTCAGGTTGAGTAACATCACGTATCATTTGAACATCGCAATACACAATCTCACCAACATATTGGAGACCGTTCGATTTACCTACTAAAAAGATGCGTGTTCAAGGTTCGTAATCTTTTTTAAACTGGGAGTTCTGTAACTTTTCGGAAGAAAAATGAGTTGAAAATTGTGATAAAATACAACGTAGATATTAAAATGGATCACATTTTTTCTATGAAGTCTGTAACTCCAATTATAAAAAATTGCAACCCAACTGAGACTAGGCTCATTTAGCATTGTCTCGACTTTATCTACTATTTAATAAAAATAGTTATAAATATTAATTTTAATCTATATCTTAGAATATACTGAATTTAGTGAGCATTTACTAAGGTAACTTCTTACCTAATTATTTTTGTGGGCGTTTAAATTTTATTTAGATCTGCACCAGCATTCCTTAAAGGTCTATGTGATTCTATTTATTACCTACACCTTAAACTACACACTTCCGTGACGCATTCTAAACAGCTTTATACGAAGGTTATTTCGTTAATAGATATAATATAATTTGATTAAATATTTAAAAAAAATTATTAACTTACGTTAATTTTGACCATTTATTATAATCTTCTTCCAAAGACGTAGTTTTGATCATCTTTTCATCCAAATAAGTTTTTTCTTCATCAACAGACATTGATTGCCCCGAATCCAATACTTTTATATCTTTAAGTTTCCCATCTTTACCATTGCTAACTTTAACATCTTCATAAACGCCATCGGGATCATCTTGTTTCGATTTTCTTCTAAACGAAACCGTTTTCTTCAACGAATCACCACCTTTAACAACCGCCTTCAATTGAGATTCCGTCGTTTTCGGTTGATTTTCTTTTTCCAATTCTTCGTTAATTAGTTTCATCGCATCCTCACTTATTTTTAAACCATCCTCTTCATCCACAAACATTTTTTGTTCAACTTTTTGTTCTTCTTTTATACCATCTTTTAATTCATCTTTTTTTAATTCAATCTTAGATTCTTTTTTGGGTTCATCTATTAATTCTTTTTTCTTGTCTTTCGTTCGTCTAGTTTCTTTTAAACTCATAGTTTTCTTCATCCCACCACTGATACTAGGTAAAGAAGATAATTCCGGTGCTTCTTTAGTCATACCAAGATCTTTTAAACCTTCATTGCTTCTTGTACGATTCGGTGAAGATCTTAAAGATCTCAACGATCGATTTCTAACTAATTTGTTAATCGAATCCATCGAAGAAGTAACTTCTTTTTGAAGTTCTTCGAGAATATTTCTTTGACTTAGTTGTTTTTCGATTGTTGGTAAATTATCTTCGTTTATTTCTATAAAACTACTTCTTTCGGTAGTTCCAATAGGATTGTTATGTTCATCGACGTACTCAACTTGGATTACGTCTTCAAAAATAATTCCATCAATTTGAGCGTCTGTTGCGATATCATCCATACAGCCTTTAGCTATCGTTTTAAGTTCTTTTAGTTTTGTGCCATCAAAAAATTTTTTATCACCGGATGAAGCACTTTCTGGTATTGTGACATCATCGAGAACTTCATCATCCGATGGTGCAGTTAAAATAATAAATTGAACGTCGTTTGTAATGTTCCCATTATTAGGTGTTGAGGGTTTTGAATCGTTTGTGGTCGTTTCTTTGATGACATCCTCTGGTTTTGGGCTTGGACTTGGACTTTTTTTAGTTATTGTTGGTGTTGTTGGGTCTTCAAATTCTAAATAAGAAAACTCATCGGTTTGACCTGGAGGTGGTTTTAATGGTATATGGATATAAACAGGTTTATCATTAGCAATTTTTGGTTCAACACTTTGTTTAAGAACGTCTTTTGATGATTTTTCCTTTTTATCTTTTTTCTCATTTTTTTCGTTTAATTTCGGTTCGGATTTCGAAAAAGTTAATTTTATTTTATCTTTAGCTGCGCGTAATTTTTTCAGCACCCCAAATTTGGGTAAGCTAATTCTACTGTAAGCACTTTCGATCGAGAGCTTTCTTTTTCGCTTCGGTTCTTCACTTTTAGCACGATTCGCGCGATTATCTTCTTCTTCAACTTTAAGACGATCACTTGAATCAACGTTTTTACTTGTACTTGGTTTTTCTTCGTCAACCTTATCGTCTTCAACAATCATCACTTTATCATCTTTCTCTAAATATTGGCTAATGTTATCATCAGCTGAGCTATCTGCTGATTCAACGATTCCCTCAGATTCTTGGTGATTTTTCTCGGTTATTAACTGTTCTTTATCTTCACTTGTTATGATTACTTCAGGTTTTTTATCTGGTGAGATAACAGTTTCTTCAATTTCTTGTATTTCTACACCGCTGTTTGATTTTTTAATTTTCTCTTTCGTATCCATTTTAAATTCGTTTAAATCGATATCCTCGTCGAAATGGTCTTTTGTTAGATGTGTATACGGATAATGTCCTCTTAATTTTGCTCTTCTCACGTCTTCCCACTTGTATGTTTTAATAGGAACGGGTGGAATGTCTTTTACTGCAAATAAAAAATAAAATAAATAATAACGAAGAATTTCATTAAAGTAATTTTTAACACACATCGAACATATTTGATTTTTTTATAACTATTTCGTTTAAATAATTCTTTAATCGACATTTTTAAATATTTTGTGGTAAAAACTTAACGATGTTTTCTCCAAATTACTTTTAATTAACTAAAATTCTTATCTCATCTTATCTCTGTCGATGTTTACTAGCTCAAAATGTAATATAACCGGTATAATCTGCGTTATCCTGAAAGAGGCTGTGATTTTTTCGTTGGTAATTGTTTTTTTGTACGATTCCTGAAATGATTTTAGTTTCGAAAATAGCTCGAAGGTTACCAAAGCGAATCGTCCAGACTCTGCTCTAATATTTTTAGTTGTAGCCAATGCCACAACGATGCCAAAAAAAAATCTTCGAACCTTACCAAACAATACCCGGGTTATTTCAATAGCGTAACAATAAATCAGTTGAAGAAAATTAATTAATCGAAACGATATTCATTCAAATTGAAAGTTTTAATTAGTTCGTTTATAATTTTCAATTAGTACTTTACTTAGAATTGGCGGAGATGTTTTTTGATTATAATTAGTCAACAACTTGACGAGGATGATGTTGAAATGTCAGTTATCCGTTTGTTGGATCGTTTGAATGTTAACAGCTGCACCTGACCTATGCGTTAGAGTTTATAAATACGTCCTGAACTTTATGGATGATGACTTGGAAGTTGTATTGATCACAACTCAAATAAGATATTTTATGAAACTTTTTTTTTATTAAAAGCCGCAATCTAATATAAGTTGTTTCTACGTTCCTTTCTCATTTTGGTTATTAATGTGTTCCTGATGATTTTTTATCGAAACCGGTAAAGCATAAATAAAAAAAAGTATTAGAAGTACAAACCGTATTTTATTTAATTAGTAATCAAAGTGTTTAATGTTGTAATATTGTATATAACGGTATAAATGTTTATAAATAATTCTACAAGAGTTGTCCAGCAAAGGTTTAAATAAAAAGTTTAGTGAGGCGATTAAATCTTTAAGATGATAACTTTTTTCTGTCATTATTATTTTGTTAAGTTTGAGGCCGATGTGCCACAACATATTTTACCAATACAACCTTAGACAACTTGTGAACCTCGGCCGCAAGCGACCTCGACTAAGTTAATGACAAAAAATGAATTATGTAGCTTTGTCAAGTCGAGAATACTTGTGGCCGAACCGTTACAACGGACCTCACACCAATACAAAGATAGGCAATATATGTGTCTCAACCGCAAGCAACCTCGGCTGTGACAAAAATTAATAATGTAATTTTGTTAAGCCGAAGCCGATTTGATATTGTCCTCTGATAAGTCGTTTGTATAAAGCAGGTACAGCAGACTTCCTTGCGAAACTCCAACCTTAATCTCTCTTAATCCCACGTTTACCATTTTCTTAATAAGCTATCTAGAGAATAATTACCATGGGTTTTAAACGCTCTTATTGACTTAGAGTTGGAGTAATCAGTATAAGATTCTAGGATATCTACAGGCTGTTTTGGCAGTACTTTATGCCATACTTTATCGAATGCTTGGGCTACGTCAATAGCAATAGGACAACAAATTTTTCTTTCTACAAGAGTTTTTTCTACAAGATTATTGTATATTGCTCCACACAAGCATTGCATAACTTTGTCAATAACAGTGCCACATGCTTCTTTGCCTGCATTAGTACCTCCTTTGAGATGCTGTTTATCCCTGCTGATTCCCACTCTTTAATTGGATCTCCCACTTCCCTTGTTGTATAACTCTCTTTTATAGTTTCCCTTAGTACCCATTGTTGTGGTAATTGAATTCTGTGTGTCAGTACATTTTCCATGCTAGTTTTTAACCCATTATAATTTGTTCTTTTTAAGTTGTATCTACCACTATCTTCTACCAGGGCACATCTTATACTGTCTTATACCTTGGCCAATTGAACTACGTGTTTCTCTAAATCTGAATTGATACTCTAGAATAAGTTTTTGTATTTATGGTTGAAGGCGGATTTTTGTACGGAAGAGTCTTTTGAAGACTTTGAGTTTACTGGGAGCAAAGGAATTGGTCTGTGTGATGTCACAATTATCTCTGTAACTCTTACAAAGTAGAGACTCCTGTCATGATACGGTGAAATTGCTACCTTGTGCTTAGATGTTGGCTAATCAAAGGTAGACGAAGAAAACATTGACCAAAAAGTACCTAGTCCTCAGATTGTGGTGGAAAATACAGCAGCAGAAAATCTTAGGAATCAACCTCAGAACTTAGATGGAACTTTAGGGCCTTATAAATGCAAAAATAGTGACTGCATCTTGTTACAAAAGAAGACGTCACCGTTCTAGTTTCATGCATAACTCGAAGATTTACTTATAAAAGCCGGTGATCAACAAGAATATAATCTTAAAGGTTTTTGATCTTGAAGACAATTTTTCAAAAATATGAAAATTAGAAGCGTGTTAAAAAAAACGGTATCCGGAGCATAATACAGAAAAACTTTTACAACAAAAGTTGTTGCAAATTGTACCCTTAACACAATGGTCTGTAACATTTTTGCTCCCACATGCATCAATGTAGAAAATTTTTCAAACATATGAAAATTAGAAGAGTGTTAAAAAAAATCGGTATCCGGAGCATGATACAGAAAAACTTTTACAACAAAAGTTGTTGCAAATTGTACCTTTATTGCAATGGTCTGTAACATTTTTGCTTTCATATGCATCAATGTAGAGAATTTTTCAAAAATATGAAAATTAGAACACTTTAGATGTGTTAAGCTACAATACAAAATCACAAGGAGAACTTCAATGGAGGAAGCTAATGTAACTTGGACTTGGGAAATTTACTACATGATAATCACAAAACACTGCATTAAGTTGTAGTTGCAAAATAATAGTCAGCTGACAGAGTGATGTAATGGAACAAAGAAGAACGAAAAAGAACGTTGTGATTGGGATAAGCAAGGTATAAACGAATAATACTAACCAATAATGAAGTATGGGAAAGGAAGTGCTCGGAAATAGAATCATACATAGGAGGAGCAAGGTTATTAGAATCATGGAAATTAATGAATTAACGTTTTCAATCACTTAAAGCCTTGGAGAAGATTGCTGTTTGTCCCCACTAGTCTTTAAAGTTTATCTGAACGAATCACTGAGGAGATCAAGCCAAGGAATGGGAATACAGCTCATAGATGACATAATATTCTATATACTTCTCACTTTATTGATGACAAACTCTTCGCTGGTTTGAAAATAGTCATTGTACAGGATAAACAGGATCTGGAATTTATGTCAAGGAATTGTTTTGACAAATATGAAATCTGCGGTGTACAATCAATTTTAAGAAGACTAAATCTGCAGCGTAATCTTGACTTGCAAGACATAGGAACGTGATGTCACATAGTTTGTTACTGTTGGCCAACTTAAGTTACAGTTAGGGTATTATAGAGTCTGATTTTATGCTGTGCAACATTTCAATTTATGCGTCGTAAAAACGGGCCACCAATCTATATGAAAAAATTTGATATAAGGTTTTTCTGTGGACCTGTCTTTAAAAACATCGTCTTATATGGATATGAAACTGGGCAATTAATAAAGGACCTTGAACAAAGAGTATTAGATGATTACTTACGAAGATCAGCTAGGGTAACGAGAATAGATAGAGTAAGGAACGAAAAAATAACCTAGTATGGACAAGTTGAGAGAATGCCAGAACTAAGAACTCCAAAACTTGCTTTAAATGCGTACTGACAGAAAGGATGATGCGAGGAAGACCAAAGGTTTAGGGTAAACAGCATTCAAAACGCAATATTGACTAGAAGACTGGTTTAGGAGACTGGGAGGATAGTAGAGGCTGGAAGCTGGAAACCGGAAGGCGTATATTCTAGAAGGAAATTAAATGTTTAAAATGGGATTTTCAATAAAAATTGATACAAACTTGTTACTTAACCATAAATATGACGGTTTCCATAACAAATTTAACTTTTACATTTTAAACTAAAATTAAATGAGATTTTAATTTTTAAGCTTGACAATTCACCTCAAATCTGACTGTTTCAACCAGCATACCAAAGAGAATGCAGATTCCAATAAAAAATGTATAATTTTGATAACGACAATAGTTTGAATATCAAATTTGACACAGGTTTGGTAACTAACCCAAATGAAATGAAAAAAAAGGTAGTCATCACTCTAAATTTTGAAAGCAAAATAATTTTTTTTTAAAATGCAGTAAAACTGTTGAGGATGTGAAAAGCTTATAAAACGTTCTTGGCCAGTGGTTTTAAATTTATTTTGGAACGTTGCGAATATCGGATGACTTGTAAACCAGCTCCCACACACTCACACGGAAAATTGTGTATTTACGAGAATACTTTTAAGCGTTGAAGCTATTCCAAGTGATTTCAAGAATGAGATAAGTTCAAAATTGAAAAGAAAAAAATACAAATCAACTTTAATCAAAAAATAATTTGAACAAAAAAGATTTTTTAATTTATTTTTAACTTTTCTTTTCTTTACATTCCGTTTTTAAAGTGCGCCAAAAACGGCTGTCCCCAAAACCACCATGAATCACATCTCGTTTAGTTAGAATTTTCTTTACGTAATTAAAATGTATCTGAAAACTTTTGAAAAACTTACCGCTTTTTCCATGTCCGTCCTGTATATCACCAACGTCCATATCCATTAACGGAACTCGTCTCACTGATTACTTCCATCTCTAATCTATCCTTAACATTTAATAAAGACAACGTCTATAAAGGCCTATCTTAAATTGTCTATCTATCTATATAGTTGAGTTGTCTGGGTATTTAACGTTGTTTTTTGTCCTTTTTCGATATAGTTATAGATCGCGCACCTCGCGAGCGAATAGAAAGCCCCCCGTCGATGGTATTCGAACTACGTGTCTTGGTGGATGCACCTAGAACGACGGCACCTTTCGATTAACTAAAATCATTTCGAAGCTATCCTTGCTGGGGAACCATCCGTGGAAATACGACTGGTAGTGTGTGTGTATTCGCGATGGTTATTTTTGGATTGGGCTATATTTTGACTGTGTGCTCGATGACGTGCCCCAGTTTTTTCTTCCATTGCGAATTTTCATTGAAAATTTATTTTATCACCTTTTCTTTCATTAATTAAATAAAAGAAAAGTTTAAAGCACACTTTCGAATTTTTGTCTTCAAATGAAGTTATTTGGATATTATCTTATTTTTCAATTCTTTTTAATTTTTAAAATTGAAATTAAAGATTTTAAATGGACTTTTTATCAATAGATGACGTTTAGATCAAAAATTGAGCAATTTCTGGCTTTGATTTTAAATGTACAATATAAACAAATAAACGGGAACAAAGAGCAGAATATACTCGTAATTGCTAATTATAATACTTAGAACCAATACGCCTTTTTCAACATAAGACAGCCAGGTGTAAAACCATACAATCTATCATTAGGCCAATATCAACTACTATCCGTGCAAAAAGTGAAGGCCCCTCACTTTAGAGATCGATATCTTCGTAACCGCTCGATGGAAAAAATTGCGGTAAAGTTTATTCTAATTAGTCAACATTTCTGCGTATCACATGTTAATTTGGAAATTTTCGGGTCCGCGGTTTTTCTTTTATCGCGACTTAAGTGAAAAAAGTACCCGATTTTTGAGAGTGCCAGCAACGTTGTCTACTTTGCGATTTGTTTTCTCCAAAACTATTTGACGAAAAAAATTTCAAATTTGAATTGGTTGTAAACCGATGTGTTCTTAATGTGGAGCATATTTTATTTTTTCGATATTCCATATAGTTTCGCAGAAAATCGCGGTTTAGTAGGATGCGGTTATTTCGAAAACGACCTGGCCGATTTCAACGCGGTTTTTACCAAAATATGTCAAATAATGTCGGTTGTCGGATTGCGTTATCAGTTTTTCAAAATTAGGGCTGCCTAATTTTTTAAGAGCGATTTAATGGATGGTCTCAGCCTCCTAGACAGAACGTCGCGCCTTATTTCTTTATGTAGGTAAGATAAAGGCGCGACGTACTGTCTGGGACACACCATCTGTTTCGATTGGACGATTTGTAATACGATTAAATCGCGCTTAAAAAGTTGGGAAGCTGTAATTTTGAAAAACTGATAACGAAATCCGACAACCAACATTATTTGACATATTTTGGTGAAATTCGCCACTCGTTAAGAACACATCAGTCTACCACCTGTTCAAAATTAAAATTTTTTCGTACGATAGTTTTCGAGAAAAAAAATCGGGTATTTTTTTCATTTAACTCACGATAAAAAGAAAACCGTGGATCCGATAATTTTCAAATCAACATATGTTACGTAGAAATGTTCAGTGATTACAACAAATTTTGTCGCAATTTTTGTTATCGAGCCGTTGCGAAAATATCGATCTCTAAACTGAGGGGCCTTGACTTTTTGCACGGATAGTTGTGACTTGACAAAAATTTGGCACTGTTACAAAAACGACCATTGGACCCAAACTAAAGGAAATCGATAACAAAAAGAAATGATTAAAAAGCAACCCCAAACGTAAAGACTCAATAATATCTACGACATTTGAATTTGGTATAAACCAGTATGGATAATATTGATGACGTTGTTGAATACGATTTTAAATCATTATCATCAGGTCTTAGCCTATTCTAAGAGCCTCCGTTTTGTTGCGCATCTTGCTTCTATAGTTGATGATATTGAAGGATTTAATGTCTACTTCTATTTATCTGGTCTTTAACCTGGTTATGCGTTTCTATGGTATACTTTGCAAATGTCTGGTATATTCTATGGTATCTGGCTATTGTGTCGATTTTGATGTAGTTGTAGTTTGCTTGTATCGTATCGATCGCCTGCTGGTGATCTTCAGACTTTTTGTCGGAACGCCAGTTGTCTCTTGGAAATCCTGACTCAGTTTAGGTAAGTTTTTGTGGTTGGTGATTTTAACCTGAAGTTTGGTAGTTCAGACAGGGACGTTGTTATGGGGTGTGACTTGTTCTTGAGCTATGGTTTTTACCCTACTGTTACGGAAGAAACAAGGGGCGGAAACTGTCTGGATAATATATTTATAAATTTTGCCATTGGTATTGCACTATGTCTGTCACGAAACCCAATCTGTCAGATCATTGGGCGCAGTGCATTACTGTTCCGTACACCGGCGGTGTGGGGGGTGTGTTGTATCTGAATAGGATATGTCGGCCGTTGACTGAATGTGGAAGTTTGTTGTTTTTCAATTTGTTTAGTCAGTTTGCGTGGGAGAGGTTGGATGATCTACACTTAAATGCTAACAATAAATTTGCCATATTTCACAAGAGATTCTTGAATACTTTTAATAGAAAGCGTGATTGTGGTGTCAGATGGTACAATGACAATCTCAGGAAAATGCGCGCTAGTTATAGTTTGGTTTGTTGTTATACGGCCGTTATAGGTCCCCCAATCTGTTAAAAGCCAAAAAAGATTATCATTGTAAGTATAGAAAGGCTGGGGGCAACTAGCAGCTTTATAAACACTGCAAAAAATAAAGCTAGTGCAGTGTGGTCAATAATAAATGAAAATAGAGTCAACGATAAAAGCAATCTAAATAGTAATCTTGATCCGAATGTGCTGATCTTGATATCGTTGAAGGGCTGCCAAGTAGTGTGCTTGACCCCATTCTCATATGTGAATATATGGATCAAATGGTAGCGCAATTTCATTTTTCAGAAGTTGGTCCTATTAAAGTACGTGAGCTGCTCTGTTCATTGAAGAGTAGTCCTACACGTGATGTTTTTTCCTTCCCAACTTATTTTATAAAGAGGAATGTAGACGACTGCCGTTGACAAAAGTTCAAAATTCAGTATTTGCTGATTCTCAGTTCCCTGATATATTGAAAATAGCTAACGTGGTGCCCGTGCATAAAAAAGGAGATACTACGGATTGCTCCAATTATATGCTAATAAGTGTTCTGCCGGCTTTTTCCAAGGTGTTTGAGCGTGCAAATTGTTTCTTATATAGAGGGAAATAACTTGCTTTGTCCAAATCAATACGGATTTCGAAAGGTGCTGTTGTCAAGTTCGTTGACATGTCCTTGGTTATGCTGAAGATTGTAGATCTTTGTTTATAAAGTTTCAGATTCTGACCTTGCCTTCACTTAAGTTCTTCAGTCAATTATATATGCACATAAACGTATTGGTCAGATGCCTACTCATGGGGATCTTTATGACTATAATACTCGTAACAGAGATAATATATATGTTCAGTATCGCAGATCGTCAGGTTTTATATAACAGGCTACCAGCTGGCGTTCGTGACTTGACGCTGGCTAGTTTAACATTTAAGCTCAGGTCGTATCTAATTGTGAAAGCGTTCTACTCTGTTGACAAGTTTTTGCAGAGTGATGTAATATAGAGAAACGCTGCGTGTTCGTATAAATGTGTAATAAGCGTTAGTAATAGTAGTGGTAATGGGTTTATAACCCTTACCAATCATATGATGTAA